AACATGACTATTAGTGGCAGGATCAGGCCTGCACCTAGGCATGACAGCGATAAGACAAGAGCTGTTAGGTGTCATCTAACTGGAGGAATATCCATTAAAGATTGTGAGTAGTGAGTGTTGTGCTGGGTTTTATTTTAATAGCATTTCTGTGTTCTTTGGCAGATCTCTAGGTAACTTTCTAACTTTGAAATTAAATACTGCATGTATTTTTGTAGCAGAAAAGTGATTTCTATTTGACATTAAGGAACTTCTTTTAAATAATTTTTTTTCAGAACACTGCCTTGATGGTTACAGATGATCTTCATGAACATTCAGCCTGACCTTGTTTTACTTTCTGAACATTATACCCTTATGCTCATGTTTTAATTTTGGGTAAAACAAGCAACACTTGTTTTATTTCTGTTGGCAGAAGGAAAAGTCCACTCTAATGTGGAAGGTCTAATGTCAGAAAAAGAACAGCTTGTTTCCTAATGTTCATTGCTGCTGAAACACTTCTGTGAACATCAGTGTTAACATCTGTCTGGACGAGGGTGTAGATGAGCCTGGAAACGTGATCTTTATGATTGTTGACCTGGCATGTCTTTTTTTTTTTTTTTTTTTTTTAAATATATATTTAACCAACTTGATGCCTGCTTTTGCAGTGCTGAGTTTTCATATTAGTTTATGCCACAACAGAATAGCTTCATTTACTGTCAAGGAGCTGCCCTAAATTTATGTTGATGTAACTTCACACAATTGCAGGTTACCCTTCTGATTTTTTTTTTTTTTTTCTCTTTAGGTCTGTGTCTGATGCACCCTTTTTTTTTTTTTTTTTAATGGCGTTAGGCTACCTGGAATACCTCTCTACCACAATATTTCTATCTGAGATTCTAGTCTATGCGTGTCTCTTTTCCTCTGTCTCTCTTGATTTCTTCACAGACCCTGCACAAACAGGTAGCTTCTCAGGTGCTTAGTCAGAGAAGCAGCTGACTCTTCCATGAGATTTTTCTTCTGGCTCTGCCTTCCCAGACTGGCCCTCATTTTTTGAGACAACATGTTTCTACTTTTCTGACCAGCCCTTTTTTATAAATGTAAAAATATCATCAAAGATCTGGTCCTTTTAGATGCTTGCAAATGAGTAGGGATGGAAATAATTTGGGAAGCAGCTCAGATCCGTGCCATCATCTCCCCAGAAGTTCTTGCAGCCTGCAGCAGAGAGCTGCTGCCTTTGTGAGTAGAGTTTTCATAGCCACAATCTAGTACTTGTATTTCTGTGCAACTGTCCAACTTTGATACGGCTTCCAACACTCAGTTGGCTGTGGCGGAGCAATGGGGTCACTTTGTCACCTCTGTCCCTGAAGCCATCCTGTGGTGCTCTGGTGTCACTGGTTGTATGCCAAGACTGTGTGTGGGGTGCTTCACTGCTGCTCTGGCTGCTCTCGCTGAGGCAGGTCAGGTTCTGGGTGCTCCATGGTGTTGTTGCACTTGGAGTTGCTTTCTTTGCTGTATTTGCTACGTGGCTTGAAAGAGGCCAACCCTCTTGGTTTCTCCATCTGCAGAACTCTAGTTCTGTTGTGTCAGTGCCGTGGTTTAACCCCAGCCAGCAACCAAGCACGACGCAGCCGCTCACTCGCCTCCCTCACAGTGGGATGGGGGAGAGAATCAGAAGGGTAAAAGTGAGAAAACTCATGGGCTGCGATAAAGACAGTTCAATAGGTAAAGCAAAAGCCACGCACACAAGCAAAGCAAAAGAAGGAATTCATTCTCCACTTGCCATTGGCAGGCAGGTGTCCAGCCATCCCCAGAAAGCAGGGCTCCATCATGTGTAACGGTGACTTGGGAAGACAAACGCCATCGCTCCGAACGTCCCCCCTTCCTCCTTCTTCCCCCAGCTTTATATACGGAGCATGACGTCATATGGCCATTTGGGGTCAGCTGTCCCGGCTGTGTCCCCTCCCAACTCCTTGTGCCCCCCCAGCCTCCTCGCTGGTGGGGTGGGGTGAGAAGCAGAAAAGCCCTTGGCTCTGTGTGAGCACTGCGCAGCAGTAACGAAAACAGCCCTGTGTTATCAGCACTGTTTCCAGCACAAATCCAAAACAGAGTCCCATACCAGCTACTACGGGGAAAATTAACTCTACCCCAGCCAAAACCAGCACAGTCAGGAAAGAAATCTTGGAAAGCTGACTGCTTTTGTTAGCAGTGTATGTCCATCCTTGAGGGTATTATGAAAGCTGCAATAGGTCACACAATGGCTGGTGTCTCTGACATGGGAAACTCTGAAGTGGTAAGGTAAATTGGGTGTCTTACATATCGACGTCAGTGCAGGTCTGTCACACCTTCAGACTGTCGCATAATGGAAAGTCTGTTGATCTGAAGGGCCTGAAGGTTTCCTCCCTCTTGGTTGAGCTTTCATGTGGATTAATGTGTGTGGATCCCCTGATTGTTGGGGGTTTTTTTGTTTGTTTTTTTTCTTCCTTCTTGTGCTTATATCTTGGAAATGGGAATTTGTTAAGACATCCTTTTAGAGCGGTCAGCTCAGTGAACTTAGTTTCATTCTCCTAGGACTGTGAAGACATATTTGAAGGCTATACTGTATAAGAAGTTACTTTCTTCATTGTGCTGTTTTTGTTGTGCCATTCTAGATATTCAGGATACCTACACAGGAACTCTTCAGCTTATACCTTGATAGGCAGATGATCTATTTGTTGCAGAATGTTTTCTTTCAGGTGTTTTTGGACATTGGTATAACTGAGCCTGTGGTTTGGCCATTCCTCTAGCCTTTGGGTTTGGGGTTTTTTTCCTTATAAAAAATACACAGTTTCTGTTTTTCCTTACTGCTTGAAACTCACCAACTACCCTTGCCTCTCATGTCTTCATACATTAAAGGCTGAACATCAGAACAGAAAAACAACTCATTCTGCCTATCCACAAGCAGCTGAATTGAACATCTGATCAAAACTATCTGTCTAGGTCTCCCTGAGTTGTCAGTGGCGAGAGCAAGGGACCTATGGAGAGAAGTTTACTCAACCTATTTTGGATGCACCTCTAAGCATGGGATGCATAGTAGTGCAAGGATGATGCTTTGTTTCCCTTTTAGTGATCTATATAATTACCTTAAATAATTAGCTTTGGCTTTTAGACTTTTAAGAGTAGATTAATCCAACCCTTGGCCTGCTTTTACATCATCATTGTTTTAGATTGAGGAAAATGAGATTACAAGAATTTCTCATCACAATTACAAATATGGTAATGTTTTTACTCTTTTAAAATACTGCTAAGAGTTGATCTGAAATTGTTTTACAGTTACTACTTTAAAAAAATCTGATCTCCTTGATGATCCATACTAAAATGTGTTTCTGACTGACAGGGACACATTGCAGGTAGATTTATTATGGTTTTTACCATCTGCTTTAATAAATGAGTGAGCAGAGCGTTTCAAAATGACCTTCAGTTTTATCCATGAAATGCGAGTTTGAATGTTCCAAGTGAATTATTGGCATTAGACTGCTAAGGGTACTTATTCTGGAAATAGTGATTTACCAGTTGTTTGGATGCTCATGCTTTTATTTGTATGGAAAAATGCTAATATACATTAATGTAGTGTTTCCACATAGCAGCAGCTTTAGAGACAGTGGGGCTTTCCGTGGTGTGGTGTTGTAGGCAGAGGTCTCATTGTTTGTCCTTGCACACTTTGTTGAAAAATATTAGATGAGTACTTTGCGCTGTTGCTTTTTAGTTGAAAAAGAGTTAATAAAAGTAAATGTACTAGAAGAAATTGAAATCAGTGAACAGATAAAATGTTATTATTTGAAATACATAATGTTGCATAATGGATTTATATAAAGTGTGGCAGAGATGAAGTGCTCTCCAGACGTAATGAAAGAACATGGATTCCTGTTTCCATAATTGAAGTTCTTTTGTACTTAATCTGTTGGGAAAAAATAGCAGGATTTTTTAACAGGTTTGCTTTCCATTAGTAAATATATTTATCTGTAGCTCCAGATACTCTGCCACGCTTTAAAAAAAAGAAAAGTTGGAAGGAGGATGCGTTTTCTTTCGAGATAATCAAATGTTGTGACTGTAGACTTTACCTCCAGAGTAAGTAAAGTATATCTGCATTAAAAAAGTTTTAATTGCTTACATAGTTTACAAGAGTGGCACAGAGGCAAACCATGCTTAATCCATTGGATGGGAGAAAAGGGTGTAAATACATTATATTCCACTTTTCTTTTTTGCAGTGTAATGAACTGTTATTAATAGGTTGTAAAAGTACTTGCTGTTAGTGGTCTGAAAAACATTGCATAAGGTGTGGTCTTGTTGTTCCTCAGATCAAAGTTTTGAGGTTTGAAGATCTCATTAACCTGAGGCTATACCCAGAGCACTGGCAGAGGGATGAATATCAGCCTGGATCTCGGGCTTGGTTCTGCTCTGCAGGGCACGACGCAGAAATACAGGAAGCCTTGGAGCTCTGCTAAGTTCATTCTGGTCCTCTGAATGCCACTAGAATATAAATAATAAAAAACAGTGTCACCTGATAATTCATCCCTGCTCTAAACTCTTGACCTCACTGGCAAACTGAGAAGTTTTTGAAATTTTGTTTTTCTTGGTACGCTGGTACCATGATCTGCAGCTTCATTTGTCTTGGGAATTCAGCTCTGCGTTTCTCTGCAGGGCAGTTCAACTATTTTAAAAGATTGTTGGCCTTTATCTGACAGCCCCTCTGAGAAGTAAAATTAGAACCATTAGGTAAATTGAAATACAGAGGTACCTACCTGCAATTCTCTCTGTCTCCCGAGGCACTCGTGATGGCTATTGACAGAAGTGGGCTTCGCTTAAGAGAGCTGTGAATCTGGTTGTCTTTGATAGGAGAGCTTTACTTTTCCTTAGAAATAAAAAGGAAAACTTTCTCTGCTTATTTTTGAAAGAGCCTTTCTCTAATGTTGTCATCACAGGTTTCTTCTTGAAGGTAACGGATTAAAGGATTTCTCCCCCCCGCCCCTTTCCCTACCTCTGCATTACAGAAATGGCATCAGATATTCCTGGCTCGGTGGCCTTGCCGGTGGCGCCAATGGCAAGTGGACAAGTGAGAATGGCAGGATCAATGCCTTCCAGAGGAGGAAAGCGGCGCTCTGGGTAAGCCATTTCTTTTTTTTTTTTTCAGGTCTGAAACTGGAGATGACTGGTATTGAAAAACTGAAAATGTACCTATATGTGTATGTTTGTTATGTAATGTTTATGTATGTAAACTACATTATGGCATTAGTCACTGATGTTTTGTTTTTCTCTTCAATGTATCTGTTCTTCCTGCAAGATAAAACTTGCTGATAAGTGTATTGTTTGTTGTTTTGCATGCTTCAAAAGACTTTCAGGTTTGGCAAAGCATCCAGAAATGGAGTTTGGGTCCCGTGGCTGTTGTAGGCAATATGCATTCATTACATGTACATCTGTTTAATATCAAAAGGATTTGTCATGTGAATAAAGGTAGCGAGACTTGTTTTTACTTGCACATGCAGACTTATCCAACTTCATCTGAAGTTTGGACTTGGAATCTCTCAAATAGAGGCCTTCTGTTAAAAATGTTTTCCTTATAGTCCCAGGTACAGAAATAGCACAAGCAGTCACTCTTCAGAGACTGTAGTCTACAATATTCTGGGTCTTGCTGGAAATGCAGGATAGTCTGCTTCTGTGAGAAAGGGCCTGAATCAAGTTCAGCCCTTGCACTAGCTTGAGGGCTCTGCTAAAGAAAATTTGTTTTATCCAACTTCAGAGGTTAGTATGGTGTAGTGATAGTTTTTCCACATCAGATTGCTCTGTGACAACTCATACTAAACCCCTCTGAAGAAAAGTGTAGCAAGAGCTGCAGGAGGGCAGAAAACTACTCTCTAGTATTAACAAAAACCCCCTGTTTTTATCAAAGGTTGGTCACACATAACGGTCTTTAGGTGATGCTTCCTCAGAGATATCTGATCTGAGAGTGCCTGCAAAAGAGATTGATTAGTCTTATATTTAGCCCTAAATATGACCGTGGTAGGGCTTAACAGGATTGATAGTGTGAGTAAAATCTTCACCGACAAACACCTAAGGGGAAGACATTATTTCTTGTGAGAGCTGCTGTAGGCATTGTTTGCCAAGGTATGTTGCCAGTTTTAGGTGTCTGCTCAAGTAACAGTGCTGGAGTCTCAATCCTGGAATGAATTTAACAAGGGAGAAGGTGGACCTCACCTTGGACGTGAAGCTAAGGTGATGTGACATGAACACTCAGGATGGTTGTTCTGAAGGGGGGTTCCTTTGACAGGACAATTTGGTGGTTTACCCCCACTGAGCATGCTTCATATGCTGAGCTAACTGTATGAAATTGGTCTGAGAAACTCCTGAAATCTTTAACAGGCATAACATTTTTATTTTAAAACTGTTCAATAAAAAAAGCCTTTTCAAACTTGCATTCAAAAGAGAAAACAAACCATTAACATATATACATTATGTAGCAATGAAAATAAGCTTTTGTACTTTTGAGTTACAGGATAGTTGATCTCTTTTTTGATCATAAACCGTATCAACTGTGAATACCAGTTTGCAAATTACTGTTACCAAGGCTTGATGCTGCTGACTGTGAAATCTTCTGATTATATTAAATACTGACTTGATATTAATTGAAAGCTATGCTTTAACTGTTGCATTTTAAGTATCATCATCTATTTGCATGAAAGTGGAGTGGGGGCAGGGTGGGAGGAACATAAAATCAAATTATTTTAAATATATTTAACATGCAAATTCAGTGAGTAGCTTAGTATAGATTTGGTCTTATACCCAGACGGTGGTATTTTTTCTGTGCACCATAGCTCTGAACTAACAGCCCTTCTGCAAGCCTGACCTGAGGGTGCGTTTTTTTTTTTTTTTTCAGTGTGTATGTATTCAGACCTCGAGGGAAAGAATGCCTGCTGTGTCTAATTCCTCTTAGCTTCTGTTTGAACAAAGTTGCAACTAACACTTAGTCCTTTCATTACTGTCCTGGTGATACATCTTTGTACACCTAAATCCTTGGGCATTTTAGAAATGAACTCTTTGTGTCAAACATAAAGGACTGTAGCTAGTGAACACAGTCATCTTTTCCAGCTTCGGTTATCTCTGAAAATTGTTTCTTTTCTCATAATTGCTGAGGCAAGCTGGCAGAATAATTGCTGTATGGACTTGAATGTAGATCAGTTTGAACTCATTGGCTATCCAGAAGGTGTTTCTGCCATGTAGGCATTCAGCTTCATTGACAGCTCAGAAGAATATTTTTCCTTTCTATAAATTGTACCAAGTACTTTATAGAAAAAAGTGACAGCAGAAGATGATGCACTGCACTGGTCAATGACTACCTTAGATTAATATAATGTCAGTTCTTTATTTAACGTGGTTTTGCTTTAGGCTATGCTGTATTAGAGGATATGGGGCTTTTTCACCTCCCTGGGGGGGGAGAGTTAGTCGTTTCATGTTTTTTTTGATTGGTTGGTTTACAGTTGCATTGGTTTTGTTTCAGTTCAGGGTGTAGTCTTGTCTTTTCTCTGACCCAGAACTGTAAGATCTGAGGAGATATGGGGAGGAAGACACCTCAGCCCACCAGCCTGCCTCCCCTGTTGTACCCCCTGATATTGTACTGAGCAAAAGGCTGTAGTACAGATCCTTGGCTGCCTGACAGCTGCACCTGCTCCTGATCATTCCTGCCTGCCCCTTCCTACACTGTATAATCACGGCAAGCCATCTTTTGACGTTTCTTGGGAATTTTACATAATAATTTTGTTGCCATGTTCGAATCCTCTCCCATCTCAATTTTTTAACCTGTGCGGGATCACCTTGTTGGAAGGGAGTCTTTTTTTTGTATGAAAACGTTTCTAATTAAAAATTAAACATTTTAAAAAATATTTTTGTCACGGTATTTGTGGTACACACATGTTTTAAGGAAAATATATTTTAGTAAGTACCTCATACATCAGGCCTTTTCACGATTGACGTGAACAATATGAAAGAGGAAAGCAAGATTTATGCTGTCTCTTCAAAACAAAAGAGCATAGTGAAGCTCTTTTTTAAAGTCTCTTTTTAATGGGAATTTTAAATTAAGATAAAAGATACTCTTTCTGAAACTTCTGAAATGATGCCATTTGTCTTCTTGGAGACTGCTCCTACTGTTTTGCTAATGTGCAATATATTCTATCTAACCAGAAGATCTTATCTGTCAAGGTATGAGGAATTTGTTGGAATATTATTTTTACGTGTTCTGCTGTGTTCTGCTGAAGGTTACAACTGATTCCCTATCTTTCACTCCATCTTGCTGTAAAGCAGGCACGATGGTTCAGGCAGGACATCGGAATCAGTGACTTTATACCTGAGATTTTTTTTCAGGTTTTGAAAGGGTGTTTTACATTTTGCACAGTGAAATATGAAATTAGGAAACGTGTTTATTAACAAAGATGGGACAGGGATACATTTGCTGTTGCATTTTTACAAGTATTGACATTTTAAGAACTTTTTATTTTCTTTTTTTTTTTTTAAATAATCCTGCATTTGGAATAAAGTCAAGGTTTTTTGGTAGTTTAACAAAGCAAATGCATTATTTAAAGATTTAGTCTGCTACAGTCTGGTATTGCACCCTAGGCACTCAGATTCTGCCGTGATGAGCCTGCTACAAATGTGGCAGGTGTAACCTATGGATATTAACCTATCAAGATCTTACAAGATGAGCAGCTGGTATCCAGCCACCTAGATAAATAAGTGTGTTTGTCCCACTTACTCCTTTGGAAGTAAGCATACAGCATGGGCAGCAGGATCAAGCCTTAAACTGTGATCAGCTTCTCTGTAATTCTCTGCATCATGTTCCAGTAATAATAAGCTAGACTAAATGCAGTAGAGCTAATGTTTGATTCTGGGGAGAAAATCCATCTCTCAGCACTCGGCTGGAGTATTTGGCTGGAAGCTAAGAAAATCTACCAAGGCACGGGATCTCAGTGTATTGGAGGGGAAGGAAAGGAATTACAAAATTAATCCCTCCCAAATTAAAGCAGTGTCTTATTAAATCCCTGAAGAAAAGGCTTTTCCCCATAGGTGTATATATTTTCTGCAGCCGTTTCCCGCTGAGTTTGAAACTGGGGGTTTCTCTCAGTTGTGTTTCAGTTGCCAGTGAAACCAGTGAAGGATACGCCTGCCGTGATGCTTTTGTGAGTGGTTTCAGGTGGAGCCAGCCCAGTGGTGGCCTGAGTGTCCCCTCCGCATGTAAACAGACAGCTCTCCTGTAACGTTGACTTTCATGTTTTGGGTGTAGGTAGAAACGTTGCAATTGAAATAACTGGGAAGTTGGTTCTGGCATGTCACCTACAGGCACCTTATTATATGTGGGGAAGAAGCAGGTAAGTAAGAGGCTAGGTGATGATGCGCCAGCGTTAAACTGCTGGCAGTACCGTATACGCAGGAGGCGTGGGGAAGTTGAGGCTGCCGGTGCCAGCGCCGGAGGCCGCTTTTGGGGTGAGGGGTGGGAGTGCGGCGGCGGGGTCCTGCCTCAGCTGCAGGGCCCTGGCACGAGGGGGGCCGCTGGCCGCTGGAGGTCGGTGGTGTTCTGCGCGAGGCGGCCAAGAGGTCGCTGGCTTTGAAACCGGCTTCGGTGGTAATTAGGTGAGCAAAAATGTGATTTATGGTGAAATCAATGATTGCATCAAACTTAACCAAATTAAATACACATCTTGAGACTCTTTGGGGAAAATGGTTTTCTCTCTGCTTCCTCCAGAAATGAATAATCGCTATTACCATCTGGAAAATATTATTGTGACTTTTCTAATACCGTTTCCAATTCCTGTGCTTATGGGCTGCCCTTGTCCTGATTGTACATAGATTGCTGTGACTCAGACACATCTTTTATAGACCGCTCTGTCTTGGGTATCAGAGTTAGGAAGCAAGGCAGTACTGCCTGACTCGCACTCATACTTCTCTACGCCGATGTAGTTTTAGAGAGCGTTTTTACATCATCGTTCTCACGCTCTGAACATACAAATCTTAATTTCTAATTGGTAGGTGTTTCTTTTAATACTGAGAGAAATATTATTGTCCCTTTGCAGGGTTTTTGCCTTTAATATGACTTATATCTGTTGTTAATATGAAGAGTGTTAGGGACATGGAATCTGCAATTGTACGAAGTCTTACTACACAAATGTTAGAAAACTTAGAATGTTAAAGAAACCCAACAAAATTGTTTGCAAAACAAAACTATGATTTCCTATCTACATAAAACATGTTTAAGAGACTGATCAAGGTCTGTAGATCATACCAATGTATTTTCTTATCATGTACAATTACTGTATTGGTGTATTTTAATAACTTTATATCAGCTTTGTTCTTAGTCTACCTTAATGGCAGAGTCACCCCCTTATAATTGGGATATATATTTGTCCTCCTCTTTTTAAAGGTATAAAAATATATAAAATGCTTTGGAAATCATACTATTGCATAGCTTTGTAGTGACTCAGTATCAACGGGAAGGAGACAATCACACTGCCTAACGTAGGAAACTAGTCTTCATAGTCTCTCTGTATAAGAAGTGAAGAAAGAGGTTTCTGCTTTTTGTGGCTCTCTGGAGGAGCCTAACGGGAGGGCTGGGATTTGGCCCAAGGAAGAGCTTGCCTCTTCCACTGACTTAAGAGGAAGGTCTGGGACATAAATCAGGTAAGTTAGGTGCATGGTAGACCCATAGGTCATTTTAGTAATGACCACAGGAATACCACAAAGTAGTTGCCATCTGCAGACTGGCTGGTAATTTGTGTGAGATGATTGGCCATGTAGGGCAAGCCTAAAGAGCGTACTACAGTTACAATCAGTAGCAGTGACGTAGATAATCCTCTTAGCAGGGAGGCTGGGAGTTTATTCTGCTCTACCTCTAACTTGCTTTCTTTAGACTGGGGCAAAAATATGTGTACAGCTTTAGAACTTTATTTTCTTTAGCCTTAATTTCAGTCCTCTAACATAGAGTCCCCACTGATTTCTGTAAACTTATATCTCTTAGGCCTGGTAGTACTTCTGACCATCTCACAAGAACTGCATTTGTTTAATATTTCCTTTTATTTGTTAATTTTAACAGTGCAGATTTCTGTGGAGAAGAACAGTCATTTATTACTTCATTTGTTTTAAAACTTGTATTCTTTGTATTCCTGGCAGCTGATGAGCTACTTTTAGGGGGTCTGGAGAATATGAGCAAGACTGGAATCTACAGTCATTAACACCTCGTGTTAAAATATAAATCAAACAAGGTTGAGAACCGCTGGCTTGAATCTTCGTGTCACCATTGCCAATGTCATGATTACTGATTTGGAAATCTTGCTTTTACAGAATGGACTTTGATGATGAAGATGGAGAGGGGCCCAGCAAATTTTCAAGGTGAGCATTTACAAAGAATTGGCCAAATCACTTGACTTCTTTCAGTGGAGAAAGACAGCTGTCTCACTACTGATGTTTTAAAGTCAATGTGAATATGGCTGAAGAACATACCAACAACTTGACCTAAATTCTAGTTACTGTTTTTATCGGCTTCCTCTGCAAATTAGGCATCCTGGCAGAAATCTGTCTAACGTAGTTATTGGCTTACAAAGCTGACAGTGTGTGTGTCATAATTGCGCTCTGCCACTATGTCAAATGAGAAAATTTGTGATTTTTAGCTTAGTATTTCAACTGCAGTAGATGAACTTTGGTTAGACATTGCTGAAGTTGTCTTTCTGCCACTGAAAATTAATTTTATTTTGAATTTATCTCAAATGTTAACTGCTTGTTAAGACAATATGACAGATCCTAGAGGTGTGGATTGTTCTTTTTAAGATTAAAGCTCATTGTGTACCATTAGGTGTAACTGAAAAGTAAAAATTGCCAAAATAAATGTTAATTAACATGGAATATTCTAGGCTAGAAATAAAAACAAACATTAAAGCATCATTGCCATTTTTTTCACATTTCCTTCTTTTCTGGTCACACTGTTTGCATTTTTTCATTAGAAACCAAGCAGCTGTATTGAGGGGTAGATACTTTGAGGCTGATTATCCAGATTGTAACTGCAGCTCTGTATAGCAGCAGCCAGGTTGAAACACAGCTGTCACCGTAGGCTTTTAACAAGATCTTCCTAGTCAGTCCGAAAGATACGTATGCTGAAGATGTGTTGTAACACCATATCATAACCTACTGGACAAGACCAGCAGCACCCCTGTTTAGCTGATGTCATTTACAGAAAGGATATTCCAGTCTCTGGTGTAAAAACTGGTGGTCTGGGGGCTAGTTGTAATATTTGCTGGAAGATACATGTTAAGGGAAAAAGATTTGTGATGAATGTGACCCTATTTGTGCCTGCGTAAGTGTCAGGGTTTCTCGGCACTCTGGTGCACGTGTGTTGGTCTCTCTCCATCCTGGCTTCAGCCTTTCAAAGTTTGGTGGTGGGGAGAGCCAATAGTTCCATTATTTTTATTGGAGAGGTGTGCTGTGGTATGCTTAGACTGAGTTGATTTTAGAAGTCAGATCAAAATCTGGTATTTAAATCTTAAATGCTGTAAAACCCCCAGATTGTTCTGCTTTTAGAGAGTACAGAAAAAGAGTGCAGAGATGCCCAAGGCCACGTTCAGACATCCTCTTGTAGTTGTGCCCTCCTTTTAGGACTTTTTCCTTCTCCAAATCGCTCCTATGACTGATTCCTAGCTTGTCTCTGTCAAAATTATTTAGTTAGCAACAAACTGCTGTTTAAATGTTTAAGCTAACCCAGCTGGCTTTGACTGAAGAGCCTGAAGAAGCATGCATGCAGAGAGGTCAGCTAGGAGACTGGAAGGGAGAAAACAGTAGTTGGAGGCAAGAACATCTTCAGCCCAGTCAACCAGACAAGGATGAATAGACAGGCCCCAAGCTAGTGGGAGCACAGGCAGTACTGATGGTAGCACTCTACTCCATGTGAGTTAACACACCTTGCTTCTCAGGGACTTCCAAGCCAGCTCAGGTATCTCTGCATGGCATCTCATCGTCACATGGAGGCATATGCATGTACTGTTCACATTACAGCATGTGGCCATTCCTCACTGAATCTGTCTTTTTGTTTAAAATTTTTGGGGCTCAGTCTGTTCTCTGGGCAGAGTCAAGTGGAATAAAGTGGCATTTTCACTTGAATGTTTTGAGGGTGCTGGTGTTAAACACAACATAAAAAGAAATACAGCTCAAGTCTCACTTAAGCTTTGTCTTCAGCATTTGAATGAGTCTTAATGAGGAAGGAAAATATGAAACCTCATAGAGGAACTTGCACAGTTGGGGTACTTAAAATTAGTTTTAATTCATTTGAGAAGGAAAAAAGAAAAAGTTCATTATTAATTTTTTAGAAGAGATGCTTAATTATGCTGTATTACTTTGTTGGCTAATATGTGGGACCTTTATAGGCTGTCTGTTGTAATAAATTACATCAGTTTGGAAAAGCATAATTCTAATACAAAATCTCATGTGACTATTCTCGAGCAGTAATACTCTTCACTTCTAGAAAAGCCATTAGCCTTATTTTTGTATTTTCAAAAACCTACATTTTTCTGTTTTGGAACAAGCAATTTAATTTCTCCAAAAGTGAGATGATTTTCAAACATATACATCTTTTTGTAACCATGCTAGCAAAATCTAATTTCAAATTATTAGTATGTTTTTAGGAAAGGGAAAGGAGGAGCAGCAAGTAATTTTTTAGTGAAATGTCATATTGCTGCCTGTCTCTGAGACAGTGCTTCAGAAACAGTGAAGCTTGAATGCCACGGGGCAAAAGTCCCATTGATCTGGATTTTCTCCATAAAGTTGCTGCCGATACACTGCACATACCTGTTTGGGCATCTAACCTCTGTTGATTTGGGTAGGAGTGAGGTACCTGTTTACTTCTATGGATTTAAGCCAGTTTTAATTTCACTTCTATTCACCCAGCAGTTTCATCTGCCTGACTGACTTTTGCCAGTCTTCCCAACAGACAGTACAGTGTCTGTACCTACTAGAGGTTTTTTCTGAAGGCGTCCTTTTATAATGCATTGCACTTAGGCGCATCTCTCTGCCCTCCCATGTTATCTGTAGACCATCAGTGCCCTCTGCTGAATGGAGTGAGTTGTGGTTGCAATCTGGAAAAGATACAGCTCTTTCACTTCCAACACAGCAATGAATATTTCATGGGCTGCTGTCGATAAAAGCTCAGTGGTGTTTTCTGTAATGGTGCTGGTTGTTAAGTTTCCCAAGCAATGAGTGTACGTCAAAGTGTTTGCATAAATCCACTGAAATGTGTCTCCAACTTTTTTAAGTATACAAATGAAGCTTTTGAATTGGCATGGCTTGGAAGTTTCATCAGACTCTACGTTTTCTTTGCTTTATCGTTCCCATGCCCTCATTTTTCTTGCTGTTATTTGTAATAGTTTGCAGTCGTGAACCTCTTTTCTTTCTGCTGTATGTTGATCATCATGCAATGCATAACCCTTGTGGATTTACTTACTATCTTTTGTTTCTAGGTATGATGGTGATCAAATCTCTGGTGATAAGGAAAAGTTTGCAAGGTAGGCGTATTCTGTAGATCTCTTCTGCTGAGAGAAAAGAGGGGGATGTTCGTGTCCAAAAAATCTCAGTACGTGTGCCTTAGCTTAGAGAGCTGGTTATTTTGTTTCTAGGTGGGACGATGATCAAAGTACTGCTGACACAGAAAGGATGGCCAGGTAGGAAAAAGGAAAATCAAATATGGTTTGCCCCCATTTTATTTTATATGGTGCCGTTCTGACTGATCAAAATTCAGGAGGGTTGGCTGATTCAAAAATGCTTGAAATCAGAAATACTAACCCTGGACCTAAGTGGGTTTGGATCAGCTCCCGCAGTTTCCCAAAATGTAACGTCCCTCCAAAATTTCCATATGAAAACAAAGTTAGAAATTACAAAATTAGGCCATCATTCTTTATGAATGCCAGGATTCCTAGGGCAGACGCTTTTGGAAGAGGACCACAGCCCCTCTTTTTCTTTCAAGGATTTAAATTTGAGCTAGTTTCAGGGTTTTGTTTGCTTGAATGTTTTCATGGCCAGTTGATTAACATACTATTATGTTTTAGCTTTTATGATTATAAATTAAATGGACTGTTGGATATTCTTCTCTTTCTTCTCAGGAAGTTTTGCAATTTCTTTGTTTACTCTTTATAATGGTTGTTTTCAATGTTCAGGAGTTTAAAAATTAAAATACTTTAGTGGCAGACGATGTAATGTGTATTTATAAATGTAAAATATCTGTTGAATATGTGTGTTCTTTGTCCCCCCCCCCCCCCCCGCCTCGTTAATCACCATTTCTGTGAAAATGCTGAACTTGGAGCAAGCTTTCATCATGTAAAATGCATTTTTCTTCCCCTTGTCCGTATTTATCTGCATATATATGCTGACATGTACACATGTGTGCTCTTATGTACATATGCACTGTCACACAAGCTGTTCTGGTTGTGTAAGTGTATATGATTCAACTCCCACAGGCACTGTTCTGTCCCGCATCTGTGCAGACCCCCACAAAGGCTGTTTATCAGCCATTTGAAATTGAAGAGTTCACTATTACGGTGTAATAGATAGTTAAGTAGATAGCGACCTTAACCAAGGAACTGGTTGTAATTTGCTGAATGACCATGGGCTATCATTGCAGGGACCCATAGCTGGATTTCCTGAGTATCAGATAGTAAGCATAGGCATCAGTAGGAATAATAACTCTGCAGGTAGCCATAACAAATGGTATTTCTGGAGACAATGCCTCATGCATACAACACCTCTGTGTGCAGGGGCAGGATACACATTGTAAAGCAGGGCAAGCCCATGCATTCCTCTATTTCAGGAAGCAGCATACTACAACTCGGATTCTTTCCTGCATTTTAAGAAAAGGCTACGTTATTGAAAGTAGCTGAAAAGTGTGCCAAGCCTAGCTTCTACTTTCATGATCAATCTTTATAACAGTCAGCTCCAAAGAATGTTGCATTTTCTTCTAATGTTGTGTCATCATACTGGCCAATGCTGGTGGACTCTCCAAGTGATCACCTCCAAGTGATCCGCCAGCGATCCCACAAGAAAATGCTATGCACAGCTCATTGAAATCAGTGGAAGATGCTGCTTTGACATCTGAAGCATCATGTACCTGTCGTGTACATGTATTTAGCTGCCACCTGACAGGTACAGTATGGGAAAAATAAGTGCCACGCACCAAAGCATTTTAGGTCCATTTAGACCATTTCAGATGTATATATTGGTGTAATTCCTTAATCGTGATCAAGCAATGGTGATTTACAGTATGGGAAAACAGAACTCCCAGATCTTCACTTCTGAAAGATTTTGGTGACTATCCACTTCAAGAATTCTCAAATTTGACTCCCCTCCTCAGTGGCGAGTGGCAAACATAAAAGGATGAGAACATTGGAGCTTAGGCCAAAGTGGGGTAGCATCAAGTACTGTCATTGTTATTTCCCTGGTGTGCTAGATTGTTCTCGAACATAAATTCCGATCTATGTCTGACAAGCCAGATGTTTACTTGCTGTCTTTCACACTCATTTTATTTATTTACTGGGGGGGGGTGGGGGGTGGGGGTGGTGGTGTATGTACTGTTATCTCTTACATGGTCCCAGTCCTGCAGTCTGACCTTGTAGGCATGTAGTGCCTCCCTACAGGGATGCAGGATGTTCCACACAATATTACAGGACTGGAGGTCTGTGTTGTCATTGAGTGGGCTTTTTGTAAGTCAGCGCTGACACTTAACTGCTGACCTGATCCAGCTGTTAGTGAGAGGTTTGCTCTAAAAGAGACCTTTTATAGGCAGATCCAACACCTTGAGTACAGACTGGAAGCTGTGAGATGCATCACAGCAAATTTGGAAGTTTGGCTGGAGTTGGCAGTTGTCAGTTCCTCACATCTTTCTGCTTCATTTTTTGCCCTTAAACCAAAGGAGATTAAACTGGTTAAGAGATTAAGGCCACAAGCCAATAGCTAGAAACATGGGTTCTTTTCACAGCGATGGGCAAATCATATTTATCCTTCTGTGGCCTGGATTTTCTGTCTATAGACTGAGGGATAATAGTGCTTAGCTTTGTAAAGCACTTTGCTCTCCTGGGGTGGAAACAGCAAAACAAGTGCAAAGTATTATGATTTGTCACCTCCAATTGATATTCTTACACTGATTGTGTCTGCTTTTCTGTTGGTTTGGTGTTTCTTTAAATGTTCAGGGAGAATCATAGTGAAATTGAGAGACGCAGGAGAAATAAGATGACACAGTACATCACCGAACTGTCTGATATGGTACCCACTTGTAGCGCATTGGCTCGTAAGCCTGACAAGTTGACAATTCTTCGGATGGCAGTTTCACACATGAAATCGATGAGAGGCACTGGAAACAAATCTACTGATGGAGCTTACAAGCCTTCATTTCTTACAGAACAGGTAGATTTTTTGCAAATGTCTGTTTTCTCTGGTTTGTGGTCTTAAAAGATGTGAGGAAATGCTGAGAGGAGTAGAGCTCAGCTTGATCCTTCACTGTCATGTAGTAATTGATACAAGCTACATATCCAAGGTGTAAATACAGACAGTTTTTTGTGGCTGGTTGGACTTGATCTTAATGATATGACACATTTTTCTTTCTGAAGCAGTAAAAGGGGTGTTGTTATCATTGAGGTTTGTCCATCTGAAAAGCAAGTCACTTGCTGCCTCTCATCACTGGAAAGGAATTTTCACCTCCAGAACTGGGTTCTTCCCATCCTAACAAAGGTTCTCTAAAATAGGTAAAAATTAATCTGGAAAGACCTGCCTCTCCCAGCTGGGTTTAGAGGAAGGTTAAAAACATTGTTTAGTCTTAATGCCTAAGTTCCCAGCAGCTGAACTGGGCAGAGATGAATCCCATCTGTACTGGCTGAGATACTTCCTTGGTTACATTTTTGATGGAAGAAGGAAGATGCACCCAGTGCTCAAACAAAAACTGTGTTTAACTGAGTGCACTGAAAATTCCTACCACCTTCATTGTTTTTCAAGTCCTATGGGTGTAATGTGCATTTTTGTGGTCTGAATGATTTAAGCACTTACACATGTAAATTATGGCTAAGGGCAATACTTCTTGCTATTAGAGAAACAGCAGCTGCTACTCATTTCTCAGAGTTCACATCTCTACTTATTCTGGCTTTCCTGAAGCGTGTTTCTGGAGGGACTGTGCCATTCAGCTGGTTGTTGGTAGGGCACCCTAGTCACTTCTCATTGCAACTTTTTGGGTTTTTTGAACTTTGCAGAATGACAGAGTTATCTTCATCTTTGTTAATAATGTATGCAAAAGAAGTCTCACTATCTTCTGTATAGTGCAGCCAGCTATGCAGTGAGGTTTTTTATTTAGTCAGTGGTTCAGAATTGATGTGCTTTCTCTACAATAAGGTGGCAGAAGTTGATGGTCTGTTAAGTGTTTCTTGAGGCGAGTTAGCCATTTCTTTAGTAGAATTTACCAGATTTTGATGCTCACCTTATCAGCTAGTATCTGCCACTTGCACACTAGCCGTGCTGAGCTGTCTAAGCTGAAATGGGACTCAGATTGTTCAAAGCTCTCTGTCTGAGTTCCAGGTGCAGTATCTTAACAAGCTCTGGTGGTCGCTGGAGCCACCAAGCAAAGGGAGTTTGAGCTTGTTTCGCAGGAATTGGAGTGGTAGTTGTCATCCTTTCCCGTGAGAGGTTTTCAAGCTCTGTTAAGCAAAGGTAGCGTTTTTGTGTGATGCATACAAACAGCTGCTTGCATGTGCAGTTCAAGGTATTGGCTGTCTAGACCAAGTGTCTGAAAGTGAAGGATAGAAGTACTTTGCTCTAAAGGCCTACGGTCCCCCTTCCAGTCCCCACATGGGGTCGGGGCTCTGGGTACTGTGTCTCAGGTGTATGTCTCAGGACAGAAGTACCCAAGATGATGAGTAGGGGACAGTGTAAAGAAAAGGCCAAAGACAGGGGTGTTCCGGACCCTTTGGATCTCTGAAGCTTCATATTCATAGGCTGGAAAAAGAAAGCAAGAAGTGATACAACCTTCTTGCATAGTGGCTTGGGCCCCCTCATGGGAGGGGAGGCTGGGGATTCCTGTCCTTGTTCCCATTACACTTTCTGCCTTTTATCCAGCGACTGTTTAATTTACAAACAGAGCTCATCCTGAGGGGAAAAAGAAAAAAAACCAAACCAGAAAGACTTGTTGGTTTCTTTCCAATTAAATTATTCAGGATGTTTAATTAAGGGATGAGTTTGCCGTATGAGTTATAGCTGTTCATTTCCTCTGTTTGTACCCTGAAATAACTTTTTATTTTTTAATGTTAGATGCCTATCACACAATATGCAGTGAGTTTTAGTTACTTGATTTTCCTACAGTGCATTGAGATCACCAGATGAAAAGCAATAAAGGAAAACGAAGTGTTGTTTGTTATTAAGATCAGCAATTTATGGCTTGCTGCAAGTTTGGTTTTGTTGTTATATCAATACTGCAGTGAAAATTTCTGCCTGGGTTGTGATCAGCTACTAAGATTGCAAGAAAACAATATTATTCAGCAGTGACAGATGTGTTATTTAATTCCCTTTTCTTGCTGGCATTCTAATCAAATCCTTTCTTTGGAAGGAACTGAAACATCTTATCCTGGAGGCTGCAGATGGGTTCCTGTTTGTAGTTGCAGCTGAGACAGGAAGAGTGATCTACGTATCAGACTCTGTGACTCCTGTGCTGAACCAGCCACAGTCTGAATGGTTTGGCAGCACTTTGTATGAACAGGTTCATCCAGATGACGTGGAAAAGCTGCGAGAGCAACTGTGTACATCCGAAAACTCTATGACAGGTCAGATATGTCTGATGTATGGTTCTGTGTGTTATGGATCCCTGCAGAGTTTTTCTGACATTCAAAATGCCTGGTTTAAAAATCTGGTAAAAATGAAATTCAGCAAGATTAAACTGCATTTTCTTGGAGGCAGTGCAGTACTATAAATCCTCTTTTGCATGACTACATTTTGCTTCCTATTTGTTTTACTTCAGTCAAACCACCTTCATGTCGCTCTGCATTCAAACTTGTGGCTTGGGTAGGTTTGGAATCTGGATTGTTTTCAGGCTTGGTCTGGAAATCTAGATTGTTTTCCTTTCGTCCTCAATGAACTTGTGACTTCTTTACAAATATGTGTTTCTTTAGGGCAATGTTTATTTTGAAGGCAAAAATCATACTTCAGACTTTTCCATTTTCATAAAAGTTCCTTGCGGTTTGCTAACGGGAATCCTGGGGAAAAAATCCCAGTGTTTGGCAGCTGAAAATCTAGTGGATTTTAAATGGGAGGCTTGCTCCTGTAGCAGTGGTGTAAATTAGTTGTAAGTTGACTACCTATCATTTTGCACATAAAACTAAACCATACTCATCTTCAGTATAACTCTGGGTTTTACATTTATTCATGCTCAAGGCAGCCAATAGGAAACTACCCTTGTCTTTAATAGGATATGTGTATGTTGGAGCTATGAGAATTAGCTGAATCCTGTTTTAACTCAAACTTGGAAAGGAAGAAACCCAACTTCTCTTTTTATTCTTCCACATAGTATGTTTATAGCTAAAGGAAAAAAAGTTAGGGGAAAATATTTATAACAAAATCCTGATCCATGCAAAAGTCACAATTTCTCCTTGCTTTAGTAATTCAGAATTCTGACCTGGTTTGCTGGAAGTTTTGTTGTGTTTCATAACTCAAAGGACAGTGATCCAGTTTTGAGTGAACCTGCACACTGTTTACAGCTTCCATATCCAAACAGTGCCAAATTCATGATTTCCTGTGGTTTGAATGTGATGTGGTTTTGGCAGAGCTTTCATGTATTCAAATTGGAAACTCAAAGCAAAATTCTGTGGTGAAAATCCAGATGGATCAAAACCAAGTGAACAGTTAGGGAAACCTGTGCAGAGCAAAACAGCTGAGTTTCATACCATGAGACTTGCAAAAGAGCACAATCTTTGTTTTTATTATGTAGCCTGTAATACATTTTAACGTACGTACCATCTTCCTCCAAGAAGCAATTACTCCAGACCCTCAGTGAACAGTCATGTTTTGACTTCCAAAAGTGCTCAGTTATGGGGCTTAATCTGCTCAAACTAGAGCAGGACTAGACAAATGCAGAGCACTTCTGAAAACCCAACTCTGTATTTTTTCCAGTTTTAAATATGTGCTTTTCTTTTATACTGAATTAATCTGTAGCCAGTGGGAAGAGAAGTTCAAATAGTAGTATTTATAGGGCTAAATCTTTTCCCTGCCTGAGTCTTTGGACTTGTCAGATTGACACAGAAGGCCCATAAATCTGCTGTACGGGGACAGCTGAAGATTTTCCCAGTGCATGGAAAGCATCATCCTGTTTAGAGCCAGGGTGGCCTGCTTAGCTACACTTCTTAAGGTGCAGAGGCAGGCTGGATGCAGAAAGGTGCTTTTTAGGGACTGGAGAGTGTGTATAGTTATAACGGTTCCAAGCAAGTGCAAGTAAGAACAGTGCATAATTGCTCCTAACTATATAGGGCACATTGTGTGAGTTTTCCTTTACAAAGTTATTGTGGTTACATGTACGGTGCTCTCCTGGGGTGGATTTTTTGGCCAGCTGAACATCTCACAAGCCATGAACACAACCATCAGTCAGCTTCTGAATCAAGCATAGACATATAGTTGTACGTACATCATCTCTCATTAAGAACAGATTTTTAAGGTGTCTGCTGCATTTTTCTGGCTTTTTAATAAAATTAATGTAAAGCAAGTGACATCATAATATAGTCCTGCTTTTTGAGTAGTTTTGTTTTAAAGATGTGACTGGTGAAGTACATTTAGTTAGTATACTAGTAGTTTTGTCAGTCTGTGGAGCATATAGATAAACAGAAAGCTCTAGATTTGTTATATTAAACTTGCATTTCCTTGACCCTGTAAGGTACCATTAAATAAGAGAAGCGGTCTTCTATAAGGACTGTCAGTCCAGCATCAATTTGCTTATAAACAGCATGCAGCAGGACTTTAGCAACATCACTCTCGCTCCTTTGAGGTACCTTTCTGGGAGCAATGTGATTCTAGAGTCTGTTCAACCAGTTACACTTTCCTTCCCGTAACACAAGCCATATTGAGAGTTGCAGCTTTGTAACAGGTAGGAATAAAACGAAATATTGCACTGAACAGAAATAATGGGTGCCTCAGTGACATTTTAAAAGAAGTCAAGTAGGCAAATGCACTTCCTTTAAGTCAGTGTTTATCAAATCATTTGGGCAGCCCTCAAGTCTCTCTTGGCTTTCCAAAGTTATGTTTCATGCAGAATAAAGGGCAATGCAGAGCTTGAAAGAGATGCAAACCAGCCAGCTGTGTTTCACATTTTTCCTGCTCAAAGTGATGATCATTGCAGGCAGCAGGAAAATCCTCATCTTTTAGTGACCTCTGGCTGTTGAGCACAGGATCTGCTTAGGGAAAAGGTGGAAATGTAATGATATATGATTTTTAATTTTGCTCTCTTCCTCATCTTCTCAGGGTCCTCAACCCCATAACCTCCTCCTTCAGCCCTTGAACTAGGGAGGCAATGACAGTGTCTTGACAAAGGAGAAACTTCACTTGCCTTGCATCAGATCAGAGCAATGTCCTTTGGTTATATTTGTTTGTCCTGTTACAAGTGCTGATCATTAGCGCTGCATTTGCTGGGGTTTTCCCAGCACCTCTTAGCAATCCTGTTACCCAGAGAAGCTGCTCCAGACCCCGAGGACTTGGGAGGCTGCCACGGTCAAAGAGGAGCGACAGACAACAAGACTCTCACATTTCTGCCCCCAGAAGTAAGACTGGGACCGGGGCTGTGGTTGCATGAGCGTTTCTTTGGCAGTCACACCAGCTTATGCAATCCTCACCTCATCTCACCCTCTCCTCCTTTGGCATTTGTGTGGTACTACAATGAATCACATCAAGGGGGCTGACCCAGCTGATAGCTAAGCTAAGCAAAAAAACCTTGGTTTTGGTAGAGACAACTCTTTGGCCCACCTTATTAAAAGGTTGCTTGAACTCTTGTGCAAACACCATGGAGAAGTGGGGAGTGAATAGTTAAGGGTAAGGAGAGAACAGGACTTCAGGAGCAGTAAAAGCATATGCCAAATTGAAGTGGCTGTTTAACTATGGCCTAAACCATGTAGTGTGTTTGGGGAGTTAATTGCTTGCTCTATTTTTACCTCTCAGGACACGGGGAAGGATGGATAGTTTCTATTCCATTTTATATCCTTGGAGATTTTATTCCCTGGAAATGGAACAATTGTCTGCTTGTTTATTGTACATTAATTGCTAACACATTGTAGCAACAGGAAAGCTGAACTGTGAAGCGTATGTACAGTTTGAAATGCTCTAGAAAAGACAGCAGCTGAGACTTGATGATAGCAACAAATAGTGCTCCCAAGAAGTCTTTACATGCGTCATGGGCATGATTAATCAGGATGGGGCAGATATTCGAATAATAATTTATTTTCCCTCTTTGTTCTTGGAAATCTGCAGATGGGAAAACAAATCACTTCAAATATGGATGAAGATCAGATCCCACAGTAGGACAGACAACAAATCTCTGATGGCGCAGAGAATAGACAGAACTTAGATTTCACTGCAAAGAAAAACAGCTTTTGAAGAATACCTCTGCTACATTTACTCTCCAAAAATGACTGAGCAAGTATTGTAGTAGACTGTCCTACCATTAAAATATAGTGTTCTAGAACACTTCGCCAGGTTGATTTCTACCAGTCTAATTCTCTGTAAGCAGTTCATAAAAGAGTAGAATGAGGAATATAGATACCTCTGTGTGGTTGCCTGGAAATACTCCGACTGATTCCATGATGTGTCTGAGATGTGCTTGTCAAGGCTGTGAGATCCCTGTCCCTGCAGCCAGCATCTCCAGTGGTGCAAATGGGAAACACCCAAGTTTATTATATTCAATTCTGAGCTCCAAGCAGCACAGCACATAGTAATCCAGCTGTAACACCTTCCTTCAGCCTCAGTCTCTATAGCTAAGGAGAGACAGGGAGCAGCCTAAGTAACCCCATCCATGGCACAAAGCCTCCTCAGGACATTCAGGATCAGAAGGAGTCTTTGCAAACTGTTTTAGCTGAGTAGCTAAGGGGTGCTGAAACTGCGGACCTGTGACTGCAAGAAAATGATGAGAACCAGTACCTCTACAGCTTTCATTTTCAAGTGATTTTAAAAAGGCTAAGTTGATTTACTTGCTAGCTGAAAAAGATTAATTGAGGTTACCCCTGGACAAAACTTGTATGCCAAGTTTAATCTTGGCATGATATTTTATTGCCGTATTTTATAAGTACAAAAAAGTAGAACTTTATGATGGAAATGGTGACTGACCACAGCAAAAGTTGAGTTGATGGGTATGTTTTTAGAAGAAAAGACCATTGTGTGACAATTCATGAATATTATGGAAACATCACTCTGCGTTACACAAACAGAGATTTGGATTGGGGAACCTGTCTCACGGAACCTTCAAATAATATGATGTCTTGCAATGATGGTTTCAGCATATGCAGTTTTCTGTCCAACTGCAAAGCTTTCTGTTAGCAAGCAGAGTTTGTAGACACAGTCACAAAATCCAGATGCTGTAGATACAGTCAAATTGTTTGTAAAAATGAGAAATATAGTGTTAAACTCAAAAGAGGGCAGTGCCAGAGACCAGTGGAGAAGCAAAGTAAAGCTTTCCACAGCAGTGAACAGATGGGAAGTGCTCAACAAGTGGTAAATAACCGTGTGAAAGAGAAGTTTAGGAATAACTTCTATCTACAACAGATACTCTTCCTGAAAATCAGTGCGGGAGTTTTTG